TGGGGCATCATCTAATAGCGAGAGGTGGAGCGGCGCGCCGAAAAAAAGTTGTCACGCAGCGAGCGGCGAGCTTTTTTGACAACTTTTTTCGGCGCGCCGCTCCACCTCTCGCTATTAGATGATGCCCCACCGTTGCCTGCCGAGTCCGGCCTGCCGCCTTCTACGCTCTCATTCGCTCAGACATTAAAATTAATTTCTCGATAACTACTGCGAATTTTGCAAAATAGTATAGGACTTTTCTATTCAGTTTGCCCCGGTCTATCTGCCATCTACGGGACATACGGGTATTAGGACACACCCTGTATATGTACGCGCGCGCAAATCTTAGATTGTTTTTTCTTCAAGTTAGCGCTTGTCGACAACACAATACAAATAGCTCTGCTAGTTTTTTTATGTACTGGTTTAAGTATTGGTTTAAATACTAGTTTAAGTAATTAAAATTTTTTTACTGGCTGATTATTTCGTGTCGCCGAATAGCTTAAAAATATTTTCGATAAATGTGTAGAAGTGCCACTCCAACAAAAACTCTAGTTTTTTTCGTAGCAATCAACAAAATTAATATAAAAATGGAAGTAAAAGGGGAAAATTTTATGAAATTTTATGAAAGTTTTAAGGTGAAGGGATGGGGCAAAAGGTTTTGAAGACTGGAGATTAGTAACCTTAACAGTTTAGATACATAAAAATTTACGAAGGCTCTGCCTCTCTTCCTACACTCTCATCCAGAGAGATATAACCTAATCTAACCCAAATTTATTTCTAATTCAAGCTTAAAATTAGGATTCGTAAAATTACTATCTGTAGAAAGTTAAAAAGTTAAAAATCTACGTGGAATCACACTCATTCATTTTTCATGAAAAATTTGATAATTTAAAAATTCCTCACGTATTCCATCATACGGTTCCACGTGGGTTTCGAACTTTCTACGAAATGTAATTCTACCCATCCTAATTTTAAGCTTTAATTAAAAATAGGTTATGGATTAGATTATATCTCTCGGGGTGCGGATGCACGGAGAGGAGCTTTCCTCACAGCCCACGCATTCGATTTCCGGACTATTGTAACCGGGTTCGTATACTTTTTTTGTTTTCATCAACACTTCATGACAATCTAATGAATAACTTCAAGTAAAGCAATTTTTTATATAATGTGAAATTTTGGAATTAAACCTAATTAATCCTAAAAAACTTTCCCCCCCCCCCTCTTAAAACTTTCATAAAATTTTATTTTTATAATAATTTTGTTGATTGCTATAAAAAAATTAGTTTTTGTTTGAATGGCACTTCTACAGATTTACTATATTTTCTTCTCGTCGATTCTATCTCGACGATAAAACTGCATAAGAATGATCACGTCGCGGAGGAGCGCCACAATTGTTCCAGCAATTATCTAATGGAAAGCGCTACTGGGATATATCGAATCTCTTTTTACAGAATGAACTTATCAAAAGACTAGGACCCAACGCACACGCGTTCACCATAGAAATTCCATCAATCGCCCCACCATCCGTGCGACTAGTACCAGCTAAGGAATACAATGGTCCACCTATAGGTAACAGCTACGACCTCAGAGTTTACGTGGGTGAGTGGAAAAAGTTTGCCGATTTTCTCGGGCTTCATTTCCTCGGTCCCGACGAACGTATGCACTTCGAACGAGAGACAATAGCGCATCGCAACCCAAAGCGAGATGTACGAGTAATTACGAACGTTCGTGAACGAAATAAGAATGAATGTACTTACGAAGGGACTAGATTTCTATTTCCCAGATACTTAATTAGGAATACGAATTCCAAGGCGTGGAAGAAATTTTTCATAAAAGATGTTAAAATATATTTTTGTGCTTTCAATTTTCAATAATTGAAACACTGTTGCAGCAGCACATTCCTGAGACTAAATCAAGTAAAAAAGTCCTGTACTACTTTTCCCTCCGACAAACAGTTATCGAGATATCATAAACTAAACATTGAAAAAGTTATCCGTATCTTTCATATTTTTGGAGATATTTGCGTGGATCATTTAAAATGAGACACCCTATATAATATAAAGCTAGCCCAAACAGTTCTATGATTAATTTCTCAGTCTTTCGTATTTCTATTACACGCGTAATTTCTCTCTAGAAATAAAAGATAATCTTTACCAATCGGATTATCACAATCAGCCAGTGACTTTTGAATCTAAAAACATCGTGTCTTGATTTCTAGCATAAATTCAAAATCTTTTTCGCGAAAGATCTGCTCAATTATTTGCAATGATGAATTTGTGAAGTGACTCGCGTTTAGCATCAGCTTTATCTCATCGTTGTTATCATACATCGTTAATATTTGAACGGACTTTAACATTACGGTGAATTTTAGCGGAGCGGGCGGACGAACAATTGCACCGTAAAACCATCGTCAGGATGGGAATTCAGGTGATCCAGCGAGCCACGAAGCCGCCCTTACCGTCGATGACTATGTACAGTGTCCCTCTCTCCCAAGAACCATCGACTGGCTCGAGAATTCAAGGATCCAAAACAAGAGTGGCGTTAGCGGAAAATGAAATCATAGAGGATAATGGTTGGTCGCGATTAGCCAGACATATTATACGACGCATACATAGACGAACCTATCATTAAACCTCAAACTCTAGTTATGTCGCCTGTATCTGTATTATATTACTTTCTGAGTTTCTTAATGTGCCATAATTTGCTGTAAATCTTTCAACTTCAAAGCGACGTGACACTGTAGTTACAGTAGTTCGGATAGAGGTCTTCGAGACGAGACTTTAAAAGTTCTTGAACAGCGTATCTCGAGTTTGATGCGAAACTACTAAGATACGTATCTTATTCTCTCATTGTCACTTGGTAAACCGTCACGTTTATCACAGACACGGAGGACAAATTAGAACAAACGCCTCTACACTAGAAAAGTGACAGAAATGCATATTATATTGATGACTTTATGTACTTAATGTTGTGACTAATGAACTTAAATGACGATTATAATTTCTCCTGAGGAAGTACATACGCGTTTTCGAGTTGATATATTATAGAAATTTGTATTTTTTACATGAAAATGCATTTTTCACTTCTCTTGCGCAAAAACGATATAGGATTTCGTTCTTATTTTCGCAGAGAACGTGGGACCACATGCGGCAGTAGAAAAACCATTTTTATTAAGTGATGGTCGCGTCAGATTGGAAGCAGGGCTAGACCACTCAATCTACGAACACGGAGACCCAATCAATGTCCACGTCAGTGTTCGCAACAATAGCTGCAAATCAGTAAAGAGAGTAAAGGTATAATTCACATACACATATACAATATATACATCGGGAAAGTTACTTTATAAAAATATCTACAGTTACAGAGTTTTTTCGCTAAAAATGTAACTAGTTTCAGTTACAAGTTACCAATTCTGAAAAGTAACGAATCGTTACTTTGCCGTTACTTTCTTGCAATGAAAATAAAAATATCAACTCTGCATGTGAATTGTAAAGTGTCGATAAAGGCGTTTATGCGCAAATACAAGGTCCAATGCGAGCTGTGGAGGTTTAAAAAATATATAAAGTAACTATTAATGCAACTATTAAATTAGTTACTAGTTATCGAAAAAATATAACCGAGATAAGTTAGAATTACCAAAAAAAGTTACTGTAACTGTAACTTCGTTACAATAACGAGTTACTTCCCAACCCTGTATATATGTGTATATATATATATATAGCTTAAAATATCTATTATTAAGAATATAAATTGAGAATGTACTTATTACTGCATATCCACGCAAACACATTCATTTTCGTTTGCTTCAGAACGGGAATTTAAAACAGGGCTAGTCTAAATAACAAGAATTAAGTGTAATAAATAGTATATAAAATATATTCTAATATTTTAATTGATAAAATATGAGCACATGAAAAGAAATTCTATTTTATTAATAACTGCAATATGCAAAACGTTCATTTAATAACAGCATATAAAATGATAAATGACAGTTCTTTATCAATAAACATTAACAAAGATTATCTCTATTACCATTTACTTTTCATTGCAACTCATGTTACTGCTGTTTCAGGAGATTATTTGCTACAAAAAATACTTTTAATAAATGTATCATGTATAAATTTGTGGGTTTACATAACGTGAGATAAAATTTGATATTATACACGCATGTGGAAGCGCAACACTGGAAGAAAAATCAGAAAATAGATTTTTTAGTACTTCCAAAATGGTGCGCTATTCCACTTCAAACTTTAATTGTTTATCTAAAAAAAACAAAAACAACAATCTTTTTCAATCAAAACAGTACCGACAATATATATAAAAAAGAATTATTCGTACAAAGAATTTATTTCAGGGGGAAAATTTTTCATTGAATTGTGTGTTGCTGAAAACTCAATTTTTTGCAAATATCAGCCCTCACTTTTAATTAAGTCAGTCAGAACTTAATCAAGAAGCGTTTGCCTCTCCATAATGTGAGAGACTATCTACCGGTCACGACGTCACCATTTTCCAACAACCGAACAATTAACACAGTATTTGTCTTCCTTTTTTCCAAAGTGATGGTGCTTGTGGGTTAAGTGGGAAATTGTACTCTCCACTCGTAAAACGTCAGCGAATCCCGCTCGTGATTCTGTGGCTATCGCACGGCAGTCGATATTTCAAACAGCGCCGGACGTGAATCCCACCAATTGTTCCTTTTCCGACGCCCCTTAGGGAATCAGATACTAGGATATTCATGACCCGGGGCGTCTGCCGGTCTCTCTCCTTATCAGATATATGCTTTTCTCAGTCTTTCTATTTTTTTCTCTTGCCACGACTTTCCATGCACGCAACGTCTGAATGCCGGAATGTAAAAAAGGCCTTGTAAAACTCGAGAGCTCGTCAAACCGATCTTCCGCAATCTCCTGCGTGACGAAAAAAAAAAGTAGGGCTTAATCACCCGTAAGGGGATCTCAATCGGTGACGTTTTCTACGAGATTGCGATAGTCGCAGAGGAAATTTCAGACATGCAAAAGAAACCACAAAATTGTCCTGGCGTCGCTATTCATCTTACTCAGGGCCAGTTTTACAAACGTCGGTTAACCGAAGATGAATCGATTCTCTGTCTCCTTTTTTAGATGGTAATGTAGAAAAAGATAGGAGTCGATGAACCTCTAGTTAACTGATGTTTATATTATAAAACTTAATCTAAAGCCCTTATTAATCTAAAATTTATTTTAAAACGTGAAATCGGAAAATTTGTCGAGATTACATTATAATTTGAGACATTAAATTAAACACTTTTTAATTAGACGTTTTAATTGGATACTTTATGCATGCGGGATGTTCTGCTGCAAGTTCCGTTGAAAATATCTTCAAAAAAAAAGCAGAAATAATAAAATAATCTAAACAGTCATTTTTACAGAGAGCTCTCTGTTTATCTTTCATCTTGCGCAGTTCTTTCTTCGAATTCTCGGAAAAGTTACGAGCCTGTATCATTTCAGTCCTTCAAACCTTCCGCGCTAATTGCATTAATTTGCAAACGTGTTTACAAACAATTTTAATCAAATTAGAAAGAAGCTAGTAAGACAAATATTATTGGTTTCGTAGTCCCATTTATTAATTGGGGATATATGTATAGTAATGCCACTCCCAGCTCTCAAGTTAACTATCGCCTCGTTGGACTTCCGTAAATTTAATAAGCTCGTTAGAACATTCATATCCCATGGGCTCAATAAAAGCCTTAGCAGTCTTGATAAGGACACTGTTCATATTACACGTTCATATTATACTGTTCATACTACACATATGCATGTGATCAAACTTAATTAGTAGCTTTTCGTTAATGCTTTCCGAATAAACCGTCTAAAAAGGGGAGCGATCTTTCCAATGCTTTTCGAATAAGCCATCTAAAAAGGGGAAATGATCTTTCCAATATTCAATAAGCAATAAATAAATTCTTGATAATTTAACAGTGTCTTATATATTTATGAACAATAAATCGCACACAAAATTCGGAAAAGATTGATTTTCTTTTAAAACATTATATAATGGGCATAAAACAAAATAATATCAGTAATGATATAAATATATATTTATTTTACCACTGATTATATTATATAGCGATTTCTCGAATAACTATTTATTTTCGTAGCAGTAATTTATTGAGTTTAACCCTCCGTCGCGCTATTTTTGGTAACATAAATCAACGTGGGGGGTTTTGAGAGACCTCGATAGAAATAAATCACTTTATCGAAAACCCCAAATATTCCCTTCGTTTAATTAGGTTTTTTAGATTCTCGTAGAATATAAAACCCTCTTTTGGAAATAATATTTTAAAGACCCTGCACGATGATTGGAGAGTTAAATGCACAAAACAGTTCATATTAAATTGAACAATGTCAAACACTCGTGCACTTTTTTCTTTCTGCCGCCAGCCTTCACATTTTCTGTACCTCTTTCAACTCGTAGCGGTTGTTACAAGGGGGTGAACAATCATCTCCTTGGGGAGTTAAACGTCTAGACTCTAGAGTTAAATGCCGCGCGATAATATAGCGCAATTATATCTCGCCACGACGCAAAAACTGCAAGAGAACGTTATTGATTACAAAGAAACTTGATTTTTGTAAACAAAGTGATAAACCTCAAACTTCGGACACTTAACCAAGAATAAATCTTTCAATAAGAAAATAAAAAGACATAAGCTAATATTGCAATGGATAAAGAGACATGTATGGTAAATTCAATGCTATTTTTTCCTCGGAAAATGGTAAGCAACATTTGTTGCCTTACACGTGAGCCTGCGAGAGCGCGCCAGTTTATTCATAAATAAACTGTTCGTTTTGCTACTTGCAAGGTAGAAATGAGCAACATAGCAACATAGCATTCTATATCTAATATTCTTACGTCATGACTACTTAGTTACTTGGCCTTCTATGTTCGTAGCATTTGCACTTACGCTAAACTGCTAACGTGCATCGGTGATGGTCTACCACAAAGTGAAACTTCGTAACCGATCTAATTTCTGAGGGGAGTAAATATTTGCGCACCAGTCGCCTTTTAGCATAACATTTACATGTATCGTTGATAATTACACAGGGTGAAAGTGTCGAAAATATATCGCGCAAATAAACATTACACATTTATGCAAATTTCGCACGATGCAAATGATGGCAATATTTCGAAAATTTGAGTCCACGCGCCTTTTATTAATTATAAAAATGACAGACGAACTTTCTATTGCTGTTAATTGAAGGAAAAACGTTCTGATGATTGTTGCGGTAGGAAAAAAATGACGAAAAATAAATTGAGTCGTATGAAATTTTAGCAGCAATTGTTTTTACTTTTATCAGCTGATGCGTCTCGAGATATAAAGAGGGTTTATATTTCTGCTAGAATGTATTATAACAAAAAGTTCTTGCAAAACTTTTTACGCGCACATATTTATACACGAATTTATTTGGATTATTCAACAAGACCCACAAGAGGAGAACACTGAAGATAAATTATTTGACCCTTTGAAGCATGATGGCAACCCACGTTACCACTTCAACTTCTTTACTTTTTGGCCATTTAATTTCTAGTTAACGCATTTAGGTCGGGTTTTTGCATTTCTTGGGAGGGTATCTTAGCGATAAAAGAACATACAAAAAGTTGAGTAGTCTTCAATATTTATTGTAAAAGTTTTATAACTAAACAAATATGAAAAAAAACAGCAATTTTTTCGGAAAAATTCATTATTGACCAAGTTTTTCAAGATTATTTCTTGAAAACTTTGTACAAAAGGGTTTTCGGGGTCGCTCATTACGAATCTGATGTCAGATTTTCAAAATTCAAAATGGCCGATCTAAACTGGCGGAGGTAAAGTACGTGAATTTTTTTAAGTTATTAAGTTTTTCAGCATTTTCGTTTGATTACGGTATTTAAGGACTTTTTAGGTCGTTGATTACAAATTCCATGTTTTTATTCAAAACTCGGTATCTACGGATCAGGTGTACAATTAGAAAATAACACTTTATAAATAAGAATCTGAAATCGGTAAATTTTGCGCTATTTTTTATATTCCATAAGAATTTTCAACTGGAATTTATATTCCATGGGTCCTAATAATATCTAAATAATGTTTCTTAGCATAGTTGAATTACAGTTGAATGATGTTATTCTTTTAAGTTTTGAATTGCGTCACTTTGAATTATGAAAATCTGATAACGTATTCGTAATCAGCGACCCCAAAAACTCTTGTATACAAAGTTTCACAAAAAAAATGGTTCAATAGAAAAATGTATGCTTCAAAGGGTTAACAGTTTCCAGATATCCTGTATAAAAGGAACGTTGAATACTCCACAAATCTCCAGTATACATATGTAGTTTAATTTCAGGACTTGACGCTCCTTTCACGATCCCCTTGAGGTCTAATAGGTGTCCGTAGTTCGCATCTTAAGGCGAAATTAGCGAATCTAATCCAGCTTTCTCTCTCGGTATACAAATACGACTACCTCTATGTAAGTGCAACTTGTGTAATAAGACCACGAATGGATATTAGAGACAAACGGAAACATTCAGGGTGAAACTTCTCGGCTTTATACTCTACTATCATCCCAGTACGTTAATCTGTTTGGAAGGAAGATAATGAAGGATCTGAGAGAGTTAGATTAAAGAATAACTTGATTGTAGCATCGGCATTAAAAACAAGAATCACACTTATTTTATCATACGTAGATTTATCTTATTTAATATTCTGCGGAAAAAAATTAGTATTTTAGTATAGCTTTAAAACAATAGAAACACACAGCTAATACAAATCTGTTTTCTTTTTCTTCACATCCCTCTAATGGAGAAAAACACAATCATGAAAATTCATGGTACATTAATTGAACAGATTCTAGTGTATACAGTTGACAAACCACTCGCCGCTAAAGCCTCGAGGCTTAAAGCCTGTCAGGAAAGCGGAGGCTCAAATAGCGATTGTTGGCCAACGGAATATTGATTAATTCAAAACGTCAATTTCGAAGAAGTTCAAGGAGAGCAACCGTGTCCTCGGGCAGTATATGTCTAAGCGTGCGCATTAACGGACAATTAAAACGAAAGACAGGCATTAGTAAGGTAAAAATACTACAGCATGTGCAAAGCTGATTGCGAAAATTTAGCAAGAAGTAGCACAGGCGACAAAGCTAAAATTCTGCAGACCAATACTTTGAACTACGCGTTTCAAAGTCGCTTCTGCGAAATGTCACCGTAAAGTATATGTATACGTTTTAATCCTCGATATTCGCTGAGCTTTTTACACCCCTATAATAAATTTAGACTCCCGTGAAAATCGCTCTTTTTACAAACACTAGGGGGAAAAAATGTTGTGCCTTCAACAAAACAGTTTAGTTGGAGTAATGTTTTACAATTACCAAATATCTTGTTTTATATAACGAAGCATTTAGCTTCTACTAAATTCATTTTTCGGTTTTATTCTCGGGATCAAATGATTTTGTTCTTAAAACAATGCTCAATAAATACAACCTATTGGTTTTCTAATGCATTAAAATTGAGACTTAATATATACTAGTAATCAAATTGTTAACTGCAAAGAATCAGTTCGCGTTACCAAGCATTTTGGTTCTCATAAGAAAATTTGCATTGTGTTAAAGCTTTTTGATTGCTATAAGAAAAGTATTGCGTTATAGAAACAAAACGTAAACAATAAAGATATTCGTTTACGGCAACTAAACAATTTAGTTCGGCACATTTTAACCAAATTGTTTTGTCGTGGCAACAAAATTTTGGTTTATACAGCAAGATGTTTTCCCTTGTGAAGACTTGCATTATAGCTGCAGAAACAAGTTTGGGGAGCTTCCCATAAGAGACGCGCTTACACTGCGGTTACACGCATCTGTCTGCTCACACTCAAGAATTCATAGCATCCTATCCGATGCCTAATTAAATATTCTATACATGAGTGAGTAAGTCAATAAGCGCCGTCACAATTCAACCAGATGAAACAACTGCGAATTAAAAACGAAATTAGAAGCTGACTTCTTTGAAAAAATTTTGAGACCTCGAATGACTAAATGTTCCTTCTTTCAAAAAAGATTAAGAGAGCAGCAAAATAGATTAGAGATACTATCGAAATGTCCATCAAGCGTAATCGTGCATAATGCCGATAATTAATGCCGATAAATGAATAATAATTCCATCGATTCTTTAACGTATCTCGCCACCTTACGAAGACAAGGCAATAACGTACAAACGTTGATGTCGGCGATTTTTTGTGACGACCGACAGGAATCGACAGACGCCATTTCCACTCGAAGCTACCCTACGAAGCCACGAAGCGAAACGTTGAAGCTATAATTCAATTTGTTTCGCACACATGCAGGGAGCGAGAGACAAAGAGACGCGACGACACTGAATTGGATTCGTCTACGATAACCCGCGTTGATCTGCCCGACTATTCTCTTCTTACGGGAACACTTGCGATACAAATAGAAATCTCTCTGAAGGAAGGACCAACCCGTGGAGATGCCAAAGGTTACGCCGTGACAGGAAATTGCGTTCGCATCAGGTGCTTTTGAGCTCTACTTCATTAAAAGCAATGGAGAACGTTGTTTGAAAATAGGTGCACGGTACACCCTGCCGATATTCTGCCCACCAGCTAGAAAGGACGGGCGTAGCCCTATGGTAACTCTGTTCCAGCAGTTAAGCAAACAAATCGACACTCCTTGACCGCCTAAGTTATGCGAATTACATTTTGTAATCAAATTTCAGTTCGTGACCAAAACACGGATACAACAGACGTCAGCGAATAAATTGATTTCAGTGGATGATAATCCAAATACACGAATCAATCCGATCGACAAAAATCGGGAAGATAGCTTGTAAGACAGGAGCTCTTTTAACATGTCGCTTTAAAAAGTATTTTCATCACCAAGCTCTTTACCTCCCGTACATTTAATTTGGAATTTAATCGCAGGTTTTAAACATATTCTCGCTACAATCGGCAAGAACGCCACAATCTTTTCAGGAGATAATTTTTTAAATAAATTCTACACATATCTCTGCTTTTATTTTGAGACACAAAGGAAAAAATCAAAGAATTAGTTTTTCTAAATAAAATGGTATCCTCTTAACAAGTCACTTGCCTCTGTGAATTTATACGCAGTAATATAATGATAATAAAATAAAATCCTCGAATTATGTTTTACGAACAAATCAGATAAAAAAAAATAAACCATATTCGCAGTTATAGATATTAATTGAAAAGTCACGCCTTTATCCGTATTATACGACGAAACGTTTGCTTCGCAGATATTTGTCGTGCAACACGTGGACGTTTGCATGTTTAGTAACGGCAAATTCAAGAATGTTGTGACCGTTATGTCCTCGCAAGAGGGCTACCCCCTGGGCCCAGGTCGCAATTCGAGGAAGACTTACACGCTCAGGCTCGTTCAGGGCACGACTGAGAATTGGATCGCCTTAGAAGACAGCTACACGAAAACCGGATCGAGTCTGGCAGCAACGGTTGTTAACCCCAGGAACAGACCCGATGACAGGAACGTTTATATGATTTACGTGTCCTATTACGTAAAGGTACTTTCTATTATGAGAAAGAAGAAAATAAAGATCGTCACGCGGAGACAATTATCTCTTAAAATTTATTCCGAAAATGATGTAATCGTGGGACAACACGGCATTTCGAAGAATTTTGTGAGTTTTTTTATTTTTATCATACGTTTTACTAGTAATTATACTTAGTATATATTTTACTAATAAAATGTATGGTAAAATTTTAGAAAACTCTCATTTCTTCGAAATGCCATGTCATTTCACGATTACATGATTTTCAGGGTGAACTTTAAGAGAAAATTCTCTCCGTGCAGATGCACCTACTTTAGGGGATAAAGTAATCTTTAGAAACCTGGGCCGCACATTGCGGGAAAAGTATGAAATCTCGTACTCCCTCGGTATGAGAACAAATTCTAGTGAAAATTTATATATTAAATGTTTTCATTTCGGATAAAAATGAATACAAATAAAATAGTCCGTATGTTCTCGACGTAGTCCAGTAAACTCAATACTATTCTGGCCCTTGAACGTGAATCTTTTCCTCTAGCGTGAACTCGTCAAATATAGAATTCATCAATAAATTCTTTTTACTTTTTGCGAATTTGTGCTAAAGAAAACTATTCACGATCGAGCTCCACGGACTCGATTATGAATCTTTTCCTCTGGCATAAATTCGTGAAAAGATGAAAAATTTCATCGACAAATAGTGAAATTCTTGAATAAAATTTTTCACTCTTCACGAGTTCACGCTAGAAGAAAAGATTCATGATCGCGTGCCTGGAGACAACTTTATACTATGTTGGAAACACAACAGACAGATGATTCCTATTTCTGTCTCTTTCTCGTAATTCTTTTGGATAACAATTTTCTATCTCACCTTATGTAGTGAGATAGAAATTGCAAGATAGAAAATCGTTGACCAATCGAACCTACTAAAAATCAGTCTCACTCTGCCCATCTTCAAGAGGGCAGTATAGGTCTTCCAATATACTGTAGATTTCACTGACATATTCTCATACTTAACGCAATACTGTTTTAAGAAAAAAAAATTAAGCATCTTTTTCGATTCGTCTTCATTTAAGCTAAGCAGACTGACTCGTGCTCTGCGATTATCAACTCAAATATAATATACGAGGCTACTATGAGGTAACGTGCGAAGATAAATCATAAAGATTTCCAATTTATCGTTTTCTCTTCAAGGTCAAACTGTTCATTTCGGCGATGGGCGGTGAAGTATCTGTGAAGCTGCCGTTCACGCTGATGCACAGGCACACGGATCAGGACCTCGTGGAATTCCCGTCCCCTATCCGGGAGGCATCTAAGGAATTTGGAAAGAGCGCGAACGACACCACGGAGAATTCCGACAGCAGTAGTAGTCATCGGAATAAGGGAAACAGGCTGGAGGACATTAGGGAGCAGGAGTCGAGGGTGGGTGACGTGGGTCTGAGAGAACACTGCGAGGGGGACGACAGCACCTGAGAGCGGGCGCAACGAGGCGACGCGATGTCGCGGCCGTCTGCCAGGAAGAGCAGCGATGCGAAAGCCATCAAGAATTCGAATCACAAGGCCTGCAGGCTCAGCGTCAACATTCAACGAGTTTGGTGCTGCTTCAGACGAGCCTCCTAGTAAACGGATAAATGGAAGTCTCGTAGCAGTGATTGACTGATAGCGTTTCGCTTGCGCCATTGTTGCGATTCCTCCTGTTTTCTCACGGGAAAATCTCGCAACGATCGCATGTCAAAAGGGGGGGAAAAAAGAGGATAAGATAACGTATAAATAAGTGAACTTTGTCAATTGTCGTTAGAATCATTGAATGTACACGTAAACGTGGATATCTCATTATTTTTCTTTGGAGGTAAAAGGATTATGTGCAATTTTAGAGAAGCAATGAACGACTTACCGCGCTTTACATTTCGTAGAGAAAATTTTATAGAGGCGCGACTAATTATAAGACATTGTATTTTCAGGAGGGATCAAGAAGTCGTGCGTATTATCGCACAGATCAAGATTTGGATTGTCCTCAATAGAAAAAGGAATGTTTCAATGAATGTCATTGCTGTAATCAAGTATGCGAAGTTGCAAGCTACTAGTGTATCATACATAAGTCGTATCTCTCGGCATAAATTCACTGACATTTCGTTGAAAGACTTGATTTCGCAAATTTTCCACCTAGAGCTTTCATCATGTGAAAGAGAAAGATCTCCCAAGAGATGAGTGTCCCTGTATATTAACTCCGTTGGATAATATTAAGGCGATATACATATATATATGTAATATATTCTTATAAACTACGAGAATTTTATCGCTCACTACCTGGCTATCTAAAGCTTCGTGAATGTAAATCAACTCGAAACTGTTTGCGTTTGTATCTTCCTACTTGTTTAAGATATGAGAAGTCTCCTACTGCCACCTGGATCACTCGCAAACATTTCTCCGTTCATTAATTTCGAAAGCATATGAAAGAACAGAACATTTCCTCAGTCTTGCATACAAAACTTGTAGACTTATCTACTTACTTCCTATACTGAAGTAATATATACCGAATTAAAACTATCAAAGATATTTTTCCAAGGAGATAAAGATATATCTATTTTTTATTATAACGATCAATGTACAAATTATCCCGCTATCACTAGATAAAATTTGAACTGTATATTTCTTTCGACAACCGTGAAATTCGATTTCTTCCGGAGGATCCCTGATATCTTAAGCGAGAGTTTTCCGCTGCAAGTTGCAGCTTCGATATTATAATCGTAATATCGAGACGAAATATTTTTATGCGTATTCACAATTGAAAGTACATTTAAACTTAACTGAAAGAAATTAATTACATTTAAACCTAACCGAGAGAAATTAATTATATATATCTACAGTATCAATTGTACAGACAATTTTTTAATTTTCATATAAACTACAAAACCACCATATCTATCATTAACATTTAATCATTTCATCTAGTGATACTGAAATGACTTGCGCAATTACATGCTTTTGTCCGCAAGAGAAACTATTACACTGACTGACCAATCCTGTGCAAAATGACAAACTAATTGCGACTAAACGAAAAAAAAAAGGTTATCATAGTAATCATTTCCAAATGAGATGTGGTATTAACACTACGTCAAGTGAAACTTGAATCGCTTCTCTATCCACAATAAGATATGTAAAGATGTACAGATTGTATCTTTAGCATTGTAAATAATAAATACATATATGTATTTATATAATAGTTACATAAATTTCTGTAATATCTAAACCGATCATGTCCTATCTGCAATAGGACATGATTATATAATTAAAAATTATGATAACATATCGTAAATTGTCGCGAGCGAAAATTTATATTCTATAATTCACGCGGTATCTCTGACTTTCGTCCTTTTATTTGAGCATAAGTTAAAAATCTGAAGCGAGTCTTAACTTAATGTCTCGTTGAAACGTAGTACTTTCAACAAGCAACATATTGAGCAAGCTGTACAAGGATGGGCAAAGTTGAGAGGGTGTGTGTGTGTGTGTGTGTGTGAAGTTGGCAGCCCATTTTCAAACACCAAACGTTTCATTAACACTTTGCATCCGCAATAATTCTACAGTTTCTAACAGGTTTTGATTTGGATAAAAAATGTTGGAAACTATTTCTAAAACCTATCGGGAACTGTAGCCACTGTATTGTCGCGCAGATACTTTGAGGTGCCAACTTCGCGGTGATCAAAGTTGACCAATTTGATAAATAAGTATTTAATGATCTTTTGCTGAGAAATCAGTATTCTAATATTTCTATAAATTCTTATATCCACAGCGTTTTTATTCTACGTTACTAAATTTTGTTCTTAAATTTTATTCAATATATAGCAAACATATAAACATGTAGTCCTTTATCGTGGACTAAAGCGCAGCTTCCCACACGTTAAAATTAATTCTGCGTTCCTAATCCCCCGACGTTTAATTACTGTTTATTGTATCTTAGACCGACTGTGACCAAATTCTGATTAACTTACCCAATGGTTAACTTGTATAAAAAAAAATTCATAGCACTTTATTTGTATAAAGAGAACTATAAGGGCTGGTTGTTCCAACCTCTTGATAAGTTAACTAATAGTTAAATCATACATGTCTATTCTCCTTCAAATTAGATAAAGATAGACATATAATTTGACTGTTAGTTTGCCAAGAGGTTGGAAAAACCGATACTGAGAGTCGCTTTTTCCAACCTCTTGGTAAGCTAACTAATAGTTAAATTACACTTCTATCTTCGACTAATTTGATAAAAAAAACAAAGACACATATTATTTAACTATTAGTTAATTTACCAGGAAGTTGTAACAATCGGCCCTTGATCCTTTATAATAATACCCGAGACAGAGAGAGAGAAAACTAGATTGAGAACAAAAAGTTGTATAGTTAGAAGTTTTACTACCAACGCTCGTAGGGGATTACTCACTGATTAATGCGTTCAATCAAACTTTTATCGAAGTCAGCCTGAAACTTCGTATAAAGTATACATCATAATTTATTGGCCAAAGCCCATGGCTATTAAACAGCTGAAAAGCAATCGTTAGCAAATTGCTGTCGTCCTTGTTATCTTTTTAAATTAATCATTTGAGCGTCGAGTTAGTTTTTGCCCATCCCTGATTGTCGCACATCGCTTGCCACGCATGGCAACGAGTTGTATAATAGGATACATGTATTACAAACTCACCGTGCCACTGCGACCTCGCATATCCCCTGACGATCTTCTTGTTAGCTTTGCCGACGTTGTCCTGCACGTCGATCAAGATATACTTGAATCTCCCGTGGCCGTCGATATCCACGTCGGGCACGTTGTCCAGCAACTGAGACATCCTGGCGAATCGACGTGCACTTACTAACCCTGTAAAATACGCAACAATAAACGTACTGTACACTGCAACAGTAGCTCAGGCTCAGGAGTGTCTCGCACACGCATTTGAGGCCGCGAAAGAGCTTAACTCTTGCCTTAAACGACTGGACTCAATTTCTTACGTTTAAAGCTCTATATTTACAATATTGGACAAGACGGTCTACCCTCGCCGTCAGTTACGGAGATAATTACAGCCTGTTTCCCCCGAAAGTAGAAACGTAATTTCTTTTTTACCCTAACATGACCGAGTTTTCGACAATCTCGTCATTTAGCGTGTATACTCGAGAAATTCATAGAAATCATACTCTGGTTATTGTAGCGTCGCGAATCGCTTGCAATGCTGTCGACATAACCTGACCACTTTCTATTTATATCCAGGTATCGCATCGCGTTAATAATAACATTCTTCTGTCACTGACTGAAATAGCATATCTCGAATACTTGTGCCTCAACGCACGACATAACGTTGTCCCACTGTAATCACCGTTAAATACCTTTTGGAGCAATTTGCCGGCCACCAGTCACAGCTAATCTGAACTTCAAAATTGCAGCCATGAACATGCGTTCTGTGTACTAAACGTGTGATTGGTCGACTTTCCGCTCGTAAACATACACCTGCTTATATTTGCCCAACGACCAATACCGTCATTTTATTTCAGAATTAAGTGACGGCATTGGTTATTGGGGCAAGCAGGAGCATGT